TTCGGCCCGAGGGCGAGGTCGGCGAGCGTTCGTGGAGCATCTTCCATGGGCGGCGGCGGACGCAGGCGTGGAAGGATGCGCTGGAACCGCTCGGATGCAGCTCGTGCAGAAGGTCGGTGCGGAGCTGTGCAATGGGCCTCCTGTCGGCACGAATCGTGGTTCTGACCGTGGTAGTGTCTATGGATGGGATGTTCGTTGCCTGTTTTTCTGGGATTCATGTTCATGTGGTGATACACGGGGCCCTCATCGTCTGCAGCATTATTGCTATCTCAACTCATGTATCTATCTCATGTGCATATATATCTCATCGTTCATATATTACTATGCACCTGTAACCCCCTCGACAAATAGTACTCACTCACTAGTAATTAACGCTGGATCAGCGACACATGTAAATCATGAGATCGATATCTGAGATGCCGCGCATATTTTCTCCGAATCCTCGCCGCAGTGCCACCCAAAGCGATTTTAGATACCTTGAAGCTTGCATAGGCTCTTCAACCAGCCTCTAGTATAGAAGAGAGTCGTTCTGATCGGTTTTACAAGCCATCAACTCAATACTTACGCACAAGTACGTAGTTGTGATAGAAGCATGCACTGGAGAGCTCGCGAGCCAAGTTGTTATGAAATGCTGGATCGGCGACGTATGTAACTATCAAGTGGTGTATATCACTACCACAGAATGAATGGATGACTGTCTCAGAGACAAGTCTATGCGGAAATCCAACACGCATGTATATGTGAATGAGGCATACTGGCAACCAGGAAGTTCACCCGATCCGAGTCCTCTACTGTAGCTTGGCGATCGCCTCGTCCAATAATTGGAATAGAACATCGTAGGTAAGAGGTTCCAGACCCCTAACAACAGCTGCATTCAGGCTCTGCAGAAGGAAGGCAAAGTGCTCCGAAAATAATTCAGGGAATCGTTGATTGATATTGAGAAAACCAAAAATATTGCCCCGTGCGTTGAGAATCTGGAGAATTGTTGGCTGCCCAAAATTGTCATAGAAATGTTTCGTGAACGCCTTATGACAATCCTCAGGGATGCTGTCGCGCCCCTTAGAGACAAAGTGCATTCCAATACTGTAGGCGAAAACCCAGACGAAGGACTCGAGGTCATGATGAAGTTCATGAGTGATTGTCTTATTGATGTCGAGAGCGAATAAAAGGGCAGCAGCCATGAATTGAAATGTCCCCTATCGGTGCTCCATGTGAGACAGACAGAACTGAAGTGTGTGAAAGATTACGGACCGTCATTGTTGCACCACGTTTAACAGAAACGGTATCAAAAATCGTATGGGTTCGGGCGGTCGGTTCAGTCAAGACGCCGCCAGGGCTGACTACAGGAACGACCGCGATCGTTTTCGTGACTGCGGCTTCTACGGAGGGCCGGGAGAAGTGGGCAGATTCGATATCCGTTATGAATCCCTCATAGCCATTTTCAGGTTGTGCCGCCGCGCTGAGCAGCACATTCCCGGCGCTGATATCACGGTGAAGGATGCCTTGTTCGCTCAAAAATCTGTGGCCTGTGCAAAATATGAGCTCGACAAAATTTAATCTGTAGAATCACTGCCATAGACCGCTCACCTTCCAGCGCCGCACGGAAACCCTTCAACAACTCCAGTTCGGAGTCATACTCCCACATCGACCGGCCATATGTACGGGTCAGCAGACGATGGAGGATGGGTGTGTCTTTCGCATCGTCACAACTGCTGTCGCGCAGATTCTTGACGCTGATCACTCGTTCAACGGCGCCCGGAAAGACAATGTCAGCGCCAACATCATAGTCAGCCACTCCCGGATGTTTTCCGCTGATCCCCTCGTACAGCATCGCTTCGGCCGGACGGTCGCTGCTCCTCCAAGCACTCTTCAGCACCAACAACCGGTTCGGATCTGCGGAATCGCAAACGCGCCACACTTCCGTGCCGCGACCCAGCAGGGAAAGCGACGTCCATATTGGAGCTCCTAGAGTGTACCAGCATCGCACTCGCTTGCCCATCGTCACCGCGTATGTTGGATAATCAACGGCACCCGTCAGATGGGTACCGATGGCTTCTGCCCTACGCCGCACCTCTCCCGCTTCTGCATCAGATAGCATGCGCACAGTGGGATCCTGTCCCAGTTCAACGGGAGTCATGTCGCGCGTCAGACGACGAATGACACGAATGAACATCCGCACGTCGGCCCACATGTCTAGGTAGGGGAGAACGTGACGCCATCGCGGTCGAAAATGCCGACGCAAAAGTGGGATCCGCAGATGAGGAGCCCGATTGAGAAGAGCTGGAATGGGCGTGCAGATAGGTGGATGCGAGCATAGGCTGCGGCTTGTGCGACGATGGGCTTTACGGCACTGTCGTTGGAAGGCACTGGGCCCTGCACATTGGCCGGCTTGATCTCGAAGAACGCGCTCCTGTGTCTCCATAGATGCGGCCCGCGCTCGCTCTGGAAGCCGACTTGACGAGGAGTCTTTTCCGTAACCTCCAACAACGTGAAGTCGGGACTGACTTTGGGGAAGTCCCAAGGATGATCCGGCGCGGTTAGCGTGGCGTTTCCGGTGGAAACCACTGGCGGTCGTAGGAACGCTGCAAGTGTGATCAAATGATTCGATGAAACTGAAAATCGTGTGCTGTGAATTTCGAAATTCCATTAGTGTGGCGTCGAAAGGAGACACCGCGTTGAAACATACGAGGGGATGATACATTTCCTTTTCTCTCAATTTGGCCTTCGTCTTCTCCTCAGGTCCCGGCTCTCGTGCATCTGCTGAGCACCCGAGTCCTATCTCGGGATCGAACTCCGCCTCTAGTTGTTTCAGCTCTGCCTCCAGTTGCCACTCGCTCTTCTTGGAGGCGCTTGCAAGAAGTTCTGCGAGCACAGCCCTTGCTTTGGAGGTCTCTGCATTCACCCTCATAGAAGCATCCACGAGGTCGTCGGGAACTACGTCGGTACCTAGGCGGTGGAAAATGCGATGGTCATTGAAGCTAAGCTTTCCGGCTAGTTCGGCCTTAATCGGGTCGCGACTCGACGTGAGGTATGAGTAAGGGGAGCCTCCGAAAACGTAGGTCTATGTTCCGGACCCAGGTTTTTTTGGAGAACCAGCGGAAAATTTGGCATGGGAAGGTGCAGGGGCGGATATATTCAATGGTAAGATAGCGGCTTGAGTTGATGAACGGACTCGGAGTATACTCCGAGTCCTCGACCCACCTCATCGGAGCTTTCATGGAAAAGGAAGACTGTCAGCATTCAGAGTATCGTGATTCCACGATTCATACTTGGTTTGTGATGAACTCGGTGACATTTGGGACCTATCCGGTGTGTAGCTGGAGATTCAATGGATTAATATTCTCGTGCCACGATATATCAGCGATGCGAGACTTTTGTAGCTGCTTCAGGAGCTCGTGCGCGCGGTCAATGTTTGCACCAATGCCGCCAAGAGATGCTGTATAAGCTATTTGAAGCCCGGATCAGATTGACTTGTATTGTACTCGACGGTCAGAGGAATAGGACCTACATATGTATTGATAGGCTGAGCTCGAGCAGTAAAACTGACCTCTCGGTTGAGTGCTTAGTGTGAGTGAGGGACGTCCGCCTGAGGTTGTAAACGTTGGATAGTGCTAACCTTACAGCATTTTCATTTTACAATAATGCTTGCGGGTTGGACGTCGACATGAAGGCGGAGCGCCGGCGGATATCGAGGGTCCTTAGCCGGAGAAGATATCGGCGCTAATACACTCTTATTCCTTGCTTCTATCTCCCAGTCGCACCTGGGCCCAGAAACATTTGTCGACAACCTTCACCGCATCATAATGTCTCGTAGGACAGCCGTAGTGGAAGAGTTTGACGACGACACCGACCTCCCCCTCCCCACGCATAAAAGTGCATTGCCCAACACAGGAACCCGCGGAGCCATCCTCGAGGAGCTATCAGACGACGAGGACGACATCCAGACGCTCGTCGAGCCCACCGCCGGTCCCGCCTCCCCCTCTCAGCCACAGTTCCGGCCGCCCGTCCCAGATCGCGACGAGAACGGGCAGCGCACAGTGACAGACATCACGCCGTACAAAAAGTGCGTATGCGTCGCTCCAGACCATGCGTGTGCGTGACCTGCTCTCGCATGTGGTCCGCCATGCCTAGGTGGACGTGTATCTACCCCATCTACATCGATGCGAAGCGCTCGAGCACGCGCGGCGAGCGGCGCATCGCCCGCTCCAAGAGCATCTGGTGGCCGCTCAGCAAGGACATCGCGGACGCGACGAACCGCCTCGGGCTCGGCACGCTGCACGAGGTGAACAAGTCGCATCCGCGCGACTGGGAGAACCCTGGGCGCGTGCGCGTCCAGTGGAAGAAGGACGGGCGGCTCGTCAACCCTGCGATAAAAACCAGTACGTGCCCCGCGCCGCGGCGAGACGCGATGCCATGCCGACTCCTGTGCCGCACACAGAGAAGCAGCTGCTCGAGATGGTCGCGTTCCAGATCCAGATGCTCAAGCCCGACAGCGTGCCCAAGCCGCCGTACGCCGCCGCATCTACCGTCGCCGCGTCGGATGCGACGCAGAAACCTGCGGCTGCTGCGAGCACGAAGGGCAAGCAGCCTGCGGCTCCGTCCAAGACATCGAAAGCTGCTCCCGCGTCCGCGTCAATGCCGACGGCGGCGCCTGCGATGGCGAAGAGCAACCGTTCGCTGTTCCCCACCCCACCATCACCATATCCGCCCCTCACGAGCAGAGTATCACCGTATTCGCCCGCGCTACCATCAGGTGTACTCATTGAGACCGTGAAAGCTGGGATGAATGCACAGGAGGTAGCACCCGGTCTAGGAGCAGGAACAGGAGGGGGAGGTAAGGGTAAGAGAAAAGTTGTTAGGGTTCGCGGGTAACGTATTCGACGGGTGTAACAATATTATCGTTCAGAAATTCGATGACCTGTAGGACTATAGATGGATATCGAGCAACAGACGCACTCGATCGCAAAAACAACACATGTACAGAAGACAATAAAAACGACCTCCCTGGCGGGGAGTCGAACCCCGCTTTCGCGCGACCGTAGAGGGCGACTCATTGTTTGAATGACAGGCGCGTGTACTAACCGATATACTACCAGGGATGTGAACGTAAGCCACAATGTTAATATCCTATCAGCAATGACGGCAACGTCGTGGGCACCTCGGAGAAGTTCTCTCCATCCCTTCCCTGACACCGACAAGACTCTGCACGCGATGGCCCCAGAACTCCCAGCGCAAATAGAGCTCATCGCACAGCTCGAAGGTGCGTCCCAAGTCAAGCACACCGCTAGCAGACCGAGTCACTGAAGCGACCCGCAGGGCACGACGACCGTGCATGGCACATCGCGTGGAACCCCACCCGCCCGATCCTCGCATCGTGCTCGGCGGACAAGAGCGTGCGCCTGTACAGATACCGGGGCGCCGATGCCTCCGCGCTCGCATTCTCGCACGACACGACGATCCCGACGGGGCACGCGAAGACCGTGCGCGCGATCGCGTGGTCCCCCTCGGGCACGACACTCGCGACCGCATCGTTCGACGCGAACATCGGGGTCTGGGAGCAGGAGGGGAATGGCGACGGCGGCGGCGGCGGTGCGGACGAGGGCGCGGCGTGGGAGTGCGTGAGCTTGCTAGAGGGGCACGAGACGGAGTGCAAGAGCGTTGCGTATTCGTGCGCGGGGAACCTGCTTGCGAGCTGCAGCCGGGACAAGACCGTGTGGGTCTGGGAAGGTGCGTGCGCCCGCGCTCCTGCGAGGGCGGAGGCGAGAATGTCTGACGAGCGTGGGCGGCGCAGTGCATCCCGATTCCGACTTTGAGTGCATGGGAGTGCTCATGGAGCATTCGCAAGACGTCAAGTGTGTCGCCTGGCACCCCACGGAAGAGGTCAGTGCGCGTCCTCCGAGCCGAGCTAGCGCCGCTGTGGCTTGCGGCCTTGCACTCATTTCGCTACCCAGCGCAGATCCTCGCTTCAGCGTCGTATGACGACACCATAAAGCTTTACCTCGACGATCCGTCGGAGGACTGGTTCTGCTTCACGACGCTCTCGGGGCACACCTCGACGGTGTGGACACTCGCATTCTCGCCGGACGGCCGGTTTCTCGCGTCTGGCTCGGAGGACGCCACGGTGCGCATATGGGAGCGCGTGCAGGAGCACAAGTGGGAGTGCGTGAGCGTCCTCGAGGGGCACGAGCGCAGCGTGTATTGCGTAAGCTGGGGAAAGAACACGGATGGGCGCGAAGGTGCGCTCGGGCGACTGGCAAGCACCGGCGGAGACGGAATGATACTTGTCTGGGAGATGAGGGTAAGACTGATTGTCCCTGTGGTTGATTCCGACTCTCACACAATAATCTGCTACGCAGGCTTCTCCGAGTGGGACAGATTCTGGCAAGAGCACGCTGAGTCACGAAATCGTTGCTCGACTTTCACAGGCGCACGGTGTCTCCGATGTCAACAGCATCGTATGGTGTCCACGGAAGGGGCTGGAGAATGTGTTTGCGACGGCAGGGGATGATGGGGTCGTGAAGGTCTGGAAGGTGGTTTGAAACTGACTCCAACAGTTTCGACTTTCCGCGTAAGAAGTGCTACATGTTAATGTGTACATCAATATCGCCTTCAAAGGGTCCCGTACACCTGCGACTCCCGATCTTATCTCGTCTCAGTTATCTAATCAAGTCAGTAAAAGTACTGACTCGGACTGGAGAGCTTTTCCCTGCACACCGCGGTCGTCCTCTCCTTGGCCATCATGACTATCCTAGGTCTTGCACCGACGCTGTACCCAACCTCGCCCGCTCACTTCGACATCGAAAAGGTCATCCGGCCCAACATCCTCTCGTTGCACCCATACCGCTGCGCGCGCGACGACTACTCGGAGGGGATCCTGCTCGACGCCAACGAGAACTCCCTCGGCCACTCCATCCCAAAAGCCAGCCCAGGCACGAACTCCGAGCTCGACCCAGAGCTCGAGTCCACGCTCGCGCTCGCCCTGCACCGCTACCCCTCGCCTCGGCACGACCCAATCCGGCAGCGGCTCGCGGCACTGCGCGGGCTCCCGGGGCCCGACTATGTCTTCCTCGGCGTCGGCTCGGACGAGGTGCTCGACCTCCTCATGCGCGTGTGCGTCGCACCCGGGCGCGAGCGCGTGCTCGTGACGCCGCCGACGTACGGCATGTACCGCGTGTGCGCGCAGGTGAACGATGTCGCGGTCGTGGACTGCCCGCTAGAGCTCGGCGGGGGTGCGGGGGAGGGCGGGGAGGCGGGGCGGTTCTCGCTGCGCGTCGCGGAGGTGTGAGGCGCTTCTGTGCGGGGTGCGTGCACGCGGCGCTAAGAGACTTGTGTCCAGGTCCAGAAGGCGGTCGCCGCTGATCCGTCCATCAAGTTAATTATCCTGTGTTCCCCGGGGAACCCCACCGGCACGGTGGTGTCGCTTGGCGGACTACGCGCGCTGCTCGAGTATGACAGGTTCAAGGGCATCGTCATCGTGGACGAGGCGTACATCGACTTTGCGGGTGCTGGGACCAGCGCGGTGTCTCTGCTCAAGGAGTACGCGAACCTGTGCGTTGTGCAGACGCTTAGCAAGAGCTTTGGGCTTGCAGCCATCCGGTGCGTCCTTCGCTGCAGTGTTGTGATGAGAGCTCCATCGTGGTGAAGCGCAAGCCGACATGTCCGAGCTCGTCAAGTCAGACCGGGGGGACACCTGCCCGCCGTTCCCCAGCGTAATCCATTCCGCATAGGGGTATCTCACTCGTGCTGGCAAAAGGCTAATTGCGGTCCCGCCCAGGCTCGGCATGGCGTATGCCCATCCCGCACTTATCCAGATCCTCATGAACACCAAGGCTCCCTATAACGTCAGTGCACCGACGGCAGCGCTCGCGCTCTCGGCGCTCTCGCCCGCTGCCGTTGCCGCGATGAGCAGGAAGCTGGCGCGGCTGGTCGCGTCACGCGAGGAGCTCCTGCTGCGCCTGCCCGCGCTCGCGCCGCTCGGGCTGGGCGCAGTCGTCGGCGGGAACGACGCGAACTTTGTGATGGTGCCCGTGCTCGCGCGGGACGGGAGCGGGCAGCCGGACAATGTGCGCGCGCAGAGAGTGTACAAGACGCTTGCGGAGGCGGAGGGCGTCGTGGTGCGGTACCGCGGGGGCGAGGCGGGCTGTGCGGGCTGCCTGAGGATCACGGTGGGCAGCGAGGAGGAAAACGAAGTGGTGCTGAAGAAGCTGGAGGAGCTGCTGAAGAAGATTTAGATTTCGTGTACGGATACTCGTGTTGCTGACCCAGCCACCGCCGAGGTGTGTGCTCTAGTGTAAATAATGCAATTTCATGCCAACACCGGAAATGAGGGCCGCGTGAGACTCCGCTGCTTCAGCACTCTTTGACAGACATCCTACATCCGGGCCAGTCACCCATGCTGCCTCAGCGGCTGAGACGGCTCCGAGCCCAGGTACCTCAGCGCTCCGCTGAGGGAGTAACGGGTTGTTAATGCACAAATACTGACGCAGACGGCAGTGTGCAGACGTGTCGTGCATCCCGCTGCCGTGGCTATAGAGCCTAGTGTGGCCGGGCATGGCAAAGAGGACACAGGAAGTTGAAGAGAGCTACTTTGTTCGGCTGTATGCGCTCGGCCCTAGCTACTGCTTACATACTATTGACCATCTGTGCATGCACCGTATATATCGCCGCTCAGGCCCTACAATCTCCCGCATTTCCTCCTTTCTTCTTCTCATCCACCTCCCCCCAATCCCCTCGATTGCCACAGTCACTGGCTTCTCAAATTCTCGAGTCGTACCGCACTTTTTCCGGCCAACCTCGAAGCACAAGTGCAACAAATCCATCTCGGAAATCGAAACGAACGTTCCACCCAGTCCGAGTGTTTCGCAACTGCGCCACTGCCCCTGGGACCTCATATATAGTTCTTACGCTGTTCGCTGATTGGCCCGCATAAGCTTGGCGCATGCGTGGTCAATTGCATTGATCCCGGTACGCCTCCTTCAGCGCAAATACTGTCCTCTCAGCTCACAGACGCTGCTGCGGCTGCAAGGGTCACTTCCAGCACTGCTCTCCTTCAACCGAGACACTTTCCGCCCGAGGGCCTTCTGAACCGCAGCGGGTCCGTGATCTACTAATACCGCGCTCCCACCGCCCATCACCTTTGTTCCACCGATGTTCTCCCCCTCATATCACTCCAGATCACCCATGATCAAGCACAAGAAGAAACAGACACCGCAGGATCTGTACCTCGCGCGCAAGGAGCGCGAGGAGGCGGAGAAGGACGCACATCTTCCCCCCGGCCTCATCAACCACGGCAACACATGCTTCATGAACTCTACCCTCCAAGGCGTAAGCGTCTCCCGGCTCCCCCGCGTGCGCAGGCTGACCCTCCCCGCAGCTCATGGCCACAGAACTGCTGCACAACCTCGTCAACTTCGCGCCGATCTCGCCGGGCCTCCAGCAGAGCGTCGTCGCGCGCCGCTCGCCGCAGCTGACCAACGGCCACGGCGTAGGCGGGCCGCACGAGCAGGAATGGGTGGAGGGCATGCCGCTGGGCGACGTCTTTGTCGGCACGCTGCGGAAGGCGTGGGCCATCCAGGAGGCGCGGCGGCGGGAGAGCATGAGCCCCAAGTGAGTGCCGCCCCACAGCAGACGCGCGCCGCGCATGCTGATCGCCCCGCAGGGAGATCCTGACGACGATCGGACGCAAGTACGAGCAGTACAGGGACTTCCGCCAGCAGGACGCGCACGAGTTCCTGCGGCACATGCTCGACGCGATGCGCATGGAGGAGCTGGATGTACGTCGTTGGCCCGCCCGCACCGCGCGCGCTCACCGTCGTCCGTCCTGCAGATCATCAAGAAGAGGCGGCCGCCGCCTCCCAAGGAGAAGCGCCGTCGCTCGCGGAGGAAGCCGCCCGCGTTGCCCCTGTCCACCCCGCCCGACCCCTCCACCATCGTCCCCGTCGCGTCGGGGTCCGCATCCCCAGAGGCGGAGGAGAAGCTGGAGACGTTCGTGGACATGCTGTTCGGCGGGCACCTCGCAAGCATCCTGGTGTGCGAGAAGTGTAAGAAGGCTTCCGTCACGTACGAGGACTTCAACGACCTGAGCCTCAGCATAAAGCCC